GTGTGTGAGTGAATGAATGAAGGAGGGAGGGAGGAAATGGGCAGTAATGAAAGACAGGTCTAACAGGGCTGGGTCCCCCAGGTGGCCTGAGCTACAGGAGGCTGGGGTGTGGGGGCAGGGCCTGCTTTCATTCTCAGGGATGGAGCCTGGGTGACCCTGCCCTTGGGGGGTCAGTGGGGAGGGTGGTCCTGAGCAAGATGGCACAGTCACCTTTCTGATTGGGGCCAGTTTGTGGGTGCCGGCCCATGTGCACAGCCATGAGGGCCGGGTGGGGGCTCCCCAGGCCTTGGGGAGCCTTGGACACTGCTCGGAGCTGCCCATCCTCTCTGCTGGAAGTCTTGGGGACCCCTCCCTCATTCAGGCCATCCACAAGGAGACTCCCACTGCCTCCTCTCAGAGCCAGAGAGAGTCGGGGTCTCCCCCGCCCCACTGAGCTGCCTTGTAATTCAGTTTTAAACCATGAAAAAAGGGAGTTGATGAAATCCCACTATCAGCGCTGAGCCAATATGCAAACTATCTCACCCCCAATCAAATAGCTATTATGTTTTCATTTCTATTTCGGCGTCTGGCTTAATGAGCAGGGGACGCACTGGGTGTCTGCACACCCTGATAACTGAGGGGCCCGGGGCACCGGGGGCCATGCCCAGCTCAGCCTGGGCCAGCCCAGCCGGAAGAGGAGTTCAGGGGAGGCACCACAGCCTGGTACATGGGGGCGGGGCGTGTCTGGAAGGGTCCTCTGTCCTCCTCTCCCATGTTCTGCCTGTGCCTCGGTTTCCTCCCCTGCGGACTGGGTATGACTTGGCCTTAGGGTGTGGAGGGAGGCATGGTCTGCCGCCGCCCCCTTTTGCCCACCTGCCCTTCCCTGTGTGCTGCGACCACTGACCCCTGAGCACACACGGCCTGCACAGGCTGGGCCCAGGGCCCCACCAGTCTGAGCTTGCCAACAAGCCCCCCACTCTCCGGTCCATCTGCCATGTGTCCCACCCAGGGGCAGCCCCTGAAGTGGACCCATACCACATGGCCCCATGCTTCCGTTTGTGGGAGGGGCACCTGAGCCATGAGAGTAATGACATGTAGCTGGCCCATCGGCCGGCTTGGCTGTGGACTGCCCAGCTGGCTGTCTATAGGGGTCTCTGGACAGAGACTGGGGAGGGGAATCCCCCAAGAGGCTGGCGGGATTAGGGGGTCTGGCTTAGCATATCATCACAGAATCCTCCCTGATCTGGGGGGCCGGGGTGCACGAGGCAGTGTGTTAGTGGCATAGCCCTTCAGCCCCATCCCATGCACAGCACAGTGAATGCTGGCTGGCAATTGTCTCTCGCCTTATCGGCGCTGTAATTGTACCAGAGCTGGAATTACGGCGTCAGAATAAATTGCCGAGCAGCCCGGCGGCCACATCCTCCATGCGCATCATGGTTTGTGCTCCGCCATACGCCCGCCCCGGCCGGCTCCCTGGGTGGGCACATGCACCTGGGTGGGCACCTCGAGCTGCCGCCCTCCAGGGGTATCAGCAGGCATGCAGGGTGTCTGCTGCTGGGCCCAGCACTGCCCAGCCTGCTGGGTCCCTGTCAGCGATGGCCGAGTCCATTTCACGGACCAGAGGGGGCAGCCAGTCAGGAGGAGGTCGCCCAGACTTGTCCACAGCCAGGGGAGCTGAGCAGCAAGGGCTCTCAGGAAACAGGTCAACTCTGGCCCTGCTTTCCTCCCCTGACAGGGCCAGGGAGGTGAGGTCACTGTGCGACGCCAGCCTGATGGGTGTGATCCAGACCCTGAGACCCCCTGTGGCCCTCTGTGCTGTCCTGCTTAGGGCCTGACCACCCTCCCTACACTCACTACTTCGACAGATCTTTGGTCAGCTGGTCCCTTCTCAGCCCTCCTCACCCGGAACCCCTGGATTGGCTCCCCCCACCCCCCTGAGCTTTTCTAGCATATAGCTGTTGAGGGCCACTCCCTGTTTCTTGACACACTCAACGTTGGGGGGAGGCTTGGAAATCTCCCCATGTCCTGGATGCGGGGGTCAGTGCACACAGCCACAGGCACTGCCTGGCCCCGCACCACCCCCAGGATCCAGCTGGGAGAGGTACCCCAGGCTCTCCGCCAAAACAGGCCCTGGCACCACTGCTCAGGGATTTAGCCATGGCTCACCGGGCCCCACTGCAGGGGCCTCCCTCACAGGACACTATCTGTGCATCCACGGCTGGCAGTGGGGGGGCACCATCAGCACCCTGTGGCACGCAGGCAGAGCACCGATGAGTCCCATTGTCATCAAGCCCCACCCCCCAGGGTGCTGGGGGGTGTCCTGAGCTGGGCGGTGTGGTCCCGCAGCCCCTCATGCATTCCCCCTGCCCCTGTATCTGCAGGGTCCTTCGGAGACATGGAAGCCGGAGAGGAGGTGCAGGCCGAGGACTTGGTCGTCGCCAAGAGGGAGTCCCCAGCACCCGAGCCCATGGGGGAGCCCGAGCCTCCAAGCCCTTCCAGTAGAGGTGAGTCCTGACCCCGAGCCCAGCCCCCCGCCTGGTGGCTCCTCGTTCCACATCTGTGAGTGGAGTGCCAATGGGGGCAAGGGAGCACCTGGTGGTCCCAGAAGTGGCCACAGGAGGATGAGCAGCCCCTTCCACGGTGGGTCCAGGAAATCCAGGCCTGGAGTACGGGTGGAAGGAGCCCTGGTGGTGCTGTGGGTTAAGCTGACCAGAAGGCCAACAGTTCCAACCCCCCAGCTGCTCTTCAGGAGACAGATGGGGCTGTCTGCAGCCGGGAGAGACTGACTGCCTCGGGAGCCCCAGGAAGCAGTGCCGCCCTGTCCCAGTGGGCCACTAGGAGTGCGCACTGACCCCCTGACAGATTAGGGAACTGGGGAGGGTGCCCTCCTCGGGACCTGTGTCAGCCTCAGCCCCTGGGGCCCTCTGCAGGCCACCTCCTCCCAGGCCGGGGAGCGAACGGCCTTGCCCACCATCACACAAGAACCCACCCGGAGTGGCCATCTGTGGCCTGAGCCCCTCGGGGCCTTGGGGCCACAGCCGGGCACTCAGGTCTGTTAAGCCCAAGACCCCCAGGGGGGTCTCATAGAGAGGGGTCACCAGAGGTCACATCCATTTTCCTGAATGCGACTGAGTCTAGGGTGGCAGGGGGCATCTGCCCGGTCAGCCCACAGTCTAAATTTCCCCTCACCGCAGTAGGCGTGGGTACAGCGCCGAGGGACACTGGGGTGGGTACAGTGTGGTCAGGAGTGAGGGCACGGGCCCTTGGAGGCGGGCCTGTCCCAGGAGGCAACTCTGCGCAGAAGTGGGAGGGAGACTGGGCTGGTCATGTGCAAAGGTCCTGGGGCAGATGGGTGGGCAGCAAGGCAGGCTGAAGACATGGACGATCTGATCCCCCTTGGCATGTACTCAAAACTGGGGGTTCCCCTGGGGAGCCCACGGCCAGGCACGGAGAGCCCAGAGAGCAAGGTCAGCACGGGCTGCCTCCGCTTTCTTACCCTCTGCAGGGAAACATGGAGCCCCGGGTGGGGCCAGGTGGCACTGCTGCTCCAGACCACCAAGTGGGCAATCGGAGCGGCCCTCACTCCTGGGTCCCCGACACTGGGCTGGCCTCACTCTGGGTCCCCGACACTGGGCTGGCCTCACTC